GTCATCAAAAACAAGGAAAGTATAAGAAACTGTCGCAGTCAAAGGGAGTCTAAGGAGACAGGATAACTAAATGTAATGAGGTATTCTGGAGCAGAAGAACAGTAAATAAAAAAGGAGAGGAAATCGGAATGAAGTATGGACTTTAGTTAATCATAGTTAATGTTGGTTCATTAATATAGCAATGTATCATACTAACATAAAATGTAACAGTAGGGGTAACTCTTTTTAATACTGTCTTCATAATTTCCTGTCACTAAAGTGGTTCTAAAATAAAAAGTTCATTTAAAAGCAACAACTACAAAAATTAACGTGCCTACTCTTGGCTAGTTGACAGTTGACTTTTGCAGTAATTTTGATTTGGGATTATCTGCAGTGTTTTCTGCACAATTTATACCAGTTAATCAGGTGTTGATTTTGCTATAAATGAGTTATCAAGAAAATTCGAAGGTTAGTCTCATTCTTTTAAAAGTATATTAAGGTAAGAAAGTATATTTTAGAATTTTTGTATCGACTGGTCTTATCTTTTAAAAATTTAGTTATTTAAAAGAAAGTCTTTTTTTGAATGCTGATAATTTTGAATTTGTGAAAATTGAGAAATGGGCAGATTCCTGTGGAGGTGGTATAGAGAATAGATTTTGGAAGGGGGCTTTTATAAATGTTTAGAGGAAAAGTAGTGAAAGTCTGTCTAAAGAATACGGAGGTTCATGGGAAAGAATAATTTTAACTTTAAAAGAGAAAATCAGTAGGATAAATTGAAGGTGGGAGTAAGAAGGGAGGAAAAGTTCTTGAATAATTCCTAGGTTTCTGACTTTGGGTGGATAATTAATGGCAATGCGAGTAACCAAATCAAGAATATAGGAGAAACATTGTGAAGAAGAAAGGATAAAAGGAGCATTTGTACGATGTAGGTATAGGTCTATAATCTTAGAGTTGTCATAACACTATTATGTTGAAGAGTTTTAGAGTCTGAACTAAACATCATCTTGTTTAATTCTTACAGCAACCTTATACTATCTTATAGAGATTTATATGCAAGTTTTGGTATTAGGTATGAATCATGACCATTTGTTGTAGTTAGAGATATGAGATAGAGATGTTATGAGTAAGAATGTGTAGTTGGGGCTTCACAGTGCCAAGGTATGGACTTCAGCTTTATAGGTCCAGAAGTAATTAGACTTAAGATGATGATTATTAATTAACTTATAAGACATTGGTATATAAGTCGGAATGTCAATTGTTATTTACAGAAAAATATTATTGCAAAGTAGAGTATAGTACTCACACCAGCTATGAAAAGCTAAATTAAAATTAGAAATTGATTGGTGAGCAAGACGGTTGGATGAACTTAATAGACAGTGTCATCAACCTGTGATAAGTTCCATATAATAATGTACTGAAAACTGATTCTACTGATTTGCTGATATACTGAAAGCATTCTACTGATTGTATGAGAGGGCAGCTTAGAATTCTCAGTTGCTTGTCGGGACTTTCTCTGTGGATAATGCTGGCGATACACTGACAAATTCTTTTTCATATCCTCAAAGCTTCATAAAAACCATTTTTTCACTTTTTTTTTTAATCAATCATTATTTTTTAGAAAAAGACATAATTTTCATCTTTTTTTATTGTTATTCTATCCCGGTGATTCTCTATTTTCTTTTAAAAATTGTAATTTTTATCCCAATTGGCCTTCTGGATCTTGCCTTCTACAGATCTCTTTTTCTCTCTGTTATCTGTATGTTTTATTTACTTAATTAATTACTGTCTGATGTATTACCTCATTTACCAGTATGACACTGTTTCTATGGGAAATCAGAAATTACCATTTCTTTTTAAAATACCTTGCTAGTATTATAATTTGTTTAATCAGATTTAAATGAGGCATTGTATTAACTAATGCCAAATTTCAGTTTTTAAACCTTTTTATTAATCTCAGGATTATGAGAGGAACAAAGATATTTTCATATGATTATTCTATAGTGTAATTTACAACATTTTTTAACTGAATATATTTATTCTAAAATGAAAACTTGCTCCCTAAAAATGTGAATTTTGCATTTTAATATTAGGATTTAATTTACTTTGTAGAATATGAGCTAGAAGGGACTAGGATTGCTTTTGTCACTTCCAACAGCATCCTGAAATTACTGCCTTTTCTTTGTTCTGACAGTTAGGTTATACATTTTGTACAAGAGGAAAAGGTAAAAAGACATGAAGTAATGAGAGAGCAGAGGCAATAGGCTTTTAAGAATACAAATATATATATATATGTTTAAATGCCTTAGGAACTTTTTGAGCCTTTGGCTCTGTCCGAGGGACCTCAGCTTTCCCTAACTTGTTCACTTATGAAATACAAGACCAGAAGAGCAAGTAAGTGATAGCTCCATCTCAGCAGACAGCTTATGCTCAGAGGGAGAATCACTCTTCTTTCTTCTTCCTTCCTTTGATCCTTTAGCAGTGTAATATGCAGCTGTACTTCTGAAACTGGAATGGGAGATGGTGGGAAACATGGTTCCATAAGAACCAACTTCTCAGGAATATCTCTGTTCAGTAAGGTGACTTAAAAAAGACTTGATGAAATTAGCATGAGTCACTTTATAATTTAAAACTTATTGTAACATTTATGTATCTTGGATATGAGGAGTAAAGTTGCAAATGAAAAGGATTTTATTATAGTAAGCTTAAATATTATCTTAGTATTTTAACTTAAAATTTTTTTGAGCAAACTAATATATATAAGTCAAATACTACTACAAAGCTTATAACGAAATAGAACTGTCTTCTGCTTTATCTCTCTTCATCTCTCTTCCCCTGACCCCCCACCAAATAACTTAAAATTTACCCTGCAGTTTCTTAGTTTATCAATTGTAGACATTATCAACTGATTTCATGGCATGGAAGATGAAGGTTTAAAACTGAACATCTTCTGTTAGCACCATTTCTCTCAACATAGTTATATCACAATTTTTCTTTAAATTGATAACATGTATTTACATTATTTAATTTATTTTAAATTCTTTAATGTCACCACATATTTGACCCCTTTTACCCCACCTACCTCCCTCCTCCCACCTCCCTCCCCTCCAGAAACCACATTATTTTTAATGATTACATTTTATTTTTAATAAAACTTTTTTCATATGATTTAATACCTGCATCTTCAAAACTCTCCAAGAATCGTAAAACTCCTGTAAATTCTTGCCATACGCCAGTTTATCACATGGTCAAATGTGTAGAGTAGTAGATAATGTATGGCATTCACATCATGATAATGTTGTGCCAGTACTTTTCCCCATTAAGAACGTGAGTCAAAGTTTACATAATATCTGGTATTTGGTTTTAATCCACTGAACGAGGAGGATTAGAATCTTTATAATTACTGAAAATGAACTAAAGCAGGAAACCTTAGCCTTGTATGAAGTCCATGAATGTGATTTAGGGGTGTGTAGACTCTCAAAATTGTAGGTTAAGATTTTTACCTGCACTTCTTTGAGGGAGAGTCCATAGCTTTTATAGATTTCCAAAAAAGTCTGTCACCCCTAAACAGTGACTGTAACTTCAGTAACCACCACCGAAGGATGTCTTTAAGCTGTGATTCTCAATATACTTTGGGTCATATAAACCTGTTTAAAATTCTGATAAAAGCTATAAACTTCCAAATTTGGGTACAATTTTAGAGATTCTTGGATTATCCAAAGCCTGTTCTCAGACTTCTTGGACTTCCTATGTGGGATTCATAGGTTTCTGCCGTTAAGGAAACATGTTCTGGGCCTTGTTAGACCTTACTCTCATTATTTTAGAGACTTAGAGTTTCATTTACACACATTCTTATTCTGTATCTTCAGGCTATTTATTTACATTACATTTCTCTTTGAAATTTTTATCTCATGTATATCACCTTAGGAAAAGCTATTTCAGTATGTATCTATTATTTTTTTCCCTTTTATACTCTATTGGAACAATTTTAAAAGCTTTTGTTTTCTGTGTTTACTTTTTTTTTTCAGATGTGGGGGAAGATTCAGTGTCATGTATATATGTGTATATATAGATCTAAAACATTCAATAGATGTGTGTGTGTGTGTGTGTATGTGTGTGTGTGTATGAAAAATCAGTGATTAGTGCTGTTTGTGCCAAGTCCAGCAGTCCTTAAAGGAACAGTTATCCTTACAGGAGCAGTTATCTTAGGTCGCAGCCAAAAACAAAAACAAAAACAAACAAAAAAACAATTAGTGGGTAAATGTGTTAAGATTTTTTTCTAAATTATGTTATAAATTTTCCACATAAAACATTTCTGTTAAGAGAAATTACTGATATATGGCAAGAAAAGTTTTGGGGTGGGCTAGCTTTTTCTTTAAGAAGCTGTGATTTCTTGATTATTAGTTCTTCTGCTTTTTTATGGTTTACTCTTTGGTGCTCTTGTGGATAACTTTGTTTTGGAAATACTTTGTTACTGACTCTTAAATTTTAAATATTAGATTATAATGCCCTTTTTGTATGCTTTGATATCAACTGGATTTAGCACTCCTAAATGATATGTATCACATTTTTAACTCTGCAGAGTTCCTGATAATCTGCCAGCTACATAAAACTTGTCTTAATTATCACTATTTTTTCTGCTTTGGTGGTGTTGTGTGCTTGTTCCTTATTAACTCTTTCATTAATATATAGTATTCAAATTGACCCTAAGAGATTCCACAGAGCCAAAATTATGTCCTTATTAGGGTATATTTCTTAACCCTTTGGTTTTTTCCCCCTCATAATGTTTCCCGTTTGTAGCACTCCCATTCTATTTTGATTCTATTCTCCAGTTAGTGATAGTTTGTTTGCCTCTTAAAATATCAAAAAGCTGTACATTGGAGATTTGTTCATCTCTAAATGTAATTTCCTTTAAAGAGGAATATTTTTATTTAATTTCAAGTGTTTTTTAATATATTTTCCCAAAGAAAATATTTTATTATTAAATTATGTAAATGTCAAAATAACATAAATTTTGCTTTCAGTGCTATGCGTGTTTTACTATCTAAATTACCAAGACCATGGATTGTGGATGAGAAGAAAGATGATGGTTATACTGCCTTGCATCTGGCTGCCCTTAATAATCATGTGGAAGTAGCTGAACTGTTGGTACATCAGGTAGGAAAAGCAGTTCAACAATTTTTAACAATTTTGGACCATTCCATCCATTTTTTTAATACTTAATCAACTACCTATTAGTTTGTTACAGTAAAATCCTATGATGATGTAAATTCAGATACAGTGCATGTTCAGTCTCCTGCCTAACATCGGTTCTTAAATGGAGGGAAGTTTGTGTGTTTGTGTGTATGTGCATGTTTGTATTTGTGTGTGTGTCCCTCAGTTCCCAGTATTCCTTCTGCACAGTCTTCCTGGATTGGTCCAATGAAATGAGCATCACCTAAAAGATCTCCCAGAATAGCTGCCATAGAACCAAGAACCATCTTAAGCTGGTGTGGCCAGCTGCCATCATGTAACACCAGTCTGCAGCCAGGATCTGGGGATTCAGTTCAGGACTACTGCTAGACCCCTGAGATCTGTGGCTGAATAGCAGCACAGGCTCACCTTAGTTATTTTATTCATCTCAGAAATAAGATGACTTTACTTTTTATAACTTTGAATTTTTCGGGATCCTGTTAATTGCAGTTTTATGGTGTTTTAGTATATTTAGAAAAATTTTTAAATGTTTCAATCATGTATATGTCATATAGAAGCACTGAAGTTGCCAAAAAATTATCTGTAATCCCTGATTTAAGGAATTTACAGTAGAGTTAAGAAGATGAATGAAACAGCAGAAAAATTTAGTAGTTAATACATTATGTGAAATTAAGTCCCAGAGCATGAGGTAGACCTTCCATAAATTACAGATGTTTAAAGAAATAGTTCAAAAGTTAAATTACCTTTACTGTGCCATTTTAAGTCTTTCTTATTAAAATTAATTTTCTTAGTAGAGAATTATTTGTGATAAAATCTTTTGTATCTAAAATCCAATAGATAGACCTTAAGCCAATACCATACTGTCTTGATTATTGTTGCTTTATAGTAAGTCTTCAAATCATATAGAGTAAATCTTCCTCCAGTTTTGTTATTCTTTCTTAGAATTGCTTTAATAGTCTAGATCTTTTGATTATCCGTATGTATATGACAAATAGAATATTAGTTTCTATTAAAAAGTCTTTTGAGAATTTGATTGCTCTTGTACATATTAGATTCATCTTTAAGCAATTTTCTGATATTATAAATTGTATTTATAATCTCAGTTTCTAATTGTATATTGTTAGTGTACAGAAATACGATTTCTTTTTTGTATGTTGACCATATATCCTGTGACATTGCTTAAATTACCATTGATCATGAGGGAAACAGAAATTACAATCACAGTGAGATATTACTAATCACCAACTATGGTGACTAAAATTTTAAAGACCAGAAAAACCCAGTGTTGATTAGGATGTGGCACAGTTTGAATACACCAACATTGCTAGTGTTTTTCTAAGAAGCCATTTTGGAAAACAATTTGGCATTTTCGTATAAACATGTATTGACTATAAAACCCAGCAATCCCACTTTTAGATATGTACTGAAGATAACTGAGTACACATTTCCCTGCAAATACTCATACTAAATATTTGTAGCAGCTTTATTCACAATAGCCCCAAACTGGAAGCAAACCAAATGTTCATCAACTAGTGCCTGGATAAACAAATTATGGTACATCCATACAGTGAATACTGTGGAAAATCTAAATGATGGAAAAGTTTGGGAAACTTAAAAAGGAAGTCCCTCACTTTCTGCATTTATATGAGAATAGACATGATAAGAAAACAAGCCGAGATTAGATACCTCATGACCTCACTCAAAGAAACAAGAACAAACCAGAAACTCCCATCTTCTGGAATTATAATGTAGCATCACTGGAGTTTCAGCTCGTCCTGATGCTCCAAGCAAAGGCACAGTTTGGTTATCAGGGTTGTAATCAGAGGGCATGAATGGTTCTAAGACATAAACAGAATGGTAAAATTTATCTTTTGAATTTGTAGCCCTTTTCTTAATTTCATTGTTGTTTTTATTATGCCAGACATTGTACTAGGCAGTTTTACACGTTACTTTTTATGTCCAGATTGACCCTGTGAAAGAGGTTATGCTATTATTACCATTTCAGAGCTGAGGAAATAGGCATGAAATGGTTAAGTTCTCAAAACTCATGTGACAGCACTTGAACCTAGGTCCCCTGATGTCAAGTTTAGTGGTCTTGCTTCTCATTGCCTTTCCTTGGCTTCAGCTGTTCTCATATAGTTCTTTAGCTATCCCAGGACCCTAGTGGAATTTTCTGCTTTCTTTTAATAAGTATTTTTATGTACTAATTAAGCACTGTCTTCTCACCTTCAAGCACAGTTCCTTTTCACTGAAGGAGGAAGAGCCCAGTTATGTAGCAAGTAGTCATTGAAGTAAATCTAAATCCAGTATGAAGGCTCATTAATATAACTTTTCAGGAAATATTTACATTTAAGATGAGCTGATTGTCTTCATTGCTCTATAATGGAGATAGAAATGGAGTTCTTTGACTCTGTAGTGTACTCTGTCCTTCAGCTGTTCTTAGATGAAGTCACCATAATAAAATTAATTTTAAACTACTGTTTTACTTCAGAAAGTTTGCTGCCTCTATTCTTCCTATATTACCCACAACTGTTACCATGTGAAAACAGTGTCCCAGCAGCTAGAGAAGAGGAAAGTGATCAATCGTATCTAGTGTTTACTCTTCACAAAGAGTTAAAGCAGTTATAGTGTTTTTCACATTTGTCAGATTTTAACTATGTAAACTTTGTTCTTCTTCAGGGTAATGCAAACCTGGATATTCAGAATGTGAACCAACAAACGGCCCTACATCTTGCTGTTGAACGACAGCACACCCAGATTGTGAGGGTAAAGTGTTTACTAACATGAATCTTTTACATTTGTATTTTAACCAGAAAGATTTCTAGAATGTTTTGAAAATGCAAATAATGCATTGTTAGATTTCTTAAAAGGCATAGTTGGATGTAAAAGTTATGATTTTAGGCTAATATTTCATATCAGTTTAATTTATAATAGGGAATATCTTAAAACTCAGATATTCAAAGTCTCATTATAATTTTGTTGCCAGATTTGTGAATTCCTAGAACATTAAATCAGAGAATTTCAGAGTAACATACAAATTAGTTTTTAAATAAATTTATTTATTTATTTTAATTAGTTTCAAGTATACAGTACATTGGTTAGACATCTATATAGTTCATAAAATAATCCCCCCAATTGCTCCCTCTCTCCCTTGGCCCTCCACCAAGCCAGCATATTAATGCTAATTGCATTCCCTATGCCATGCCCCCATCCCTGTGACCGTCTATCAACTACTGACTTGTACTTCTTTAACCCTTCACCCCATTCTTCCATCCCCCCCAACCCCCTCGTCTGTCCGTCACCAAATTGTCCACTATAGTCGTGAGTCTCTTTTTGATTAGTTTGTTCTTTTTGTTCCTTAGATTTTGCATATAAGTAAAATCATATGTATTTATCTTTCTCTGTCTGACTTATTTTACTCAGCATAATAACCTCTAGGTCCATCCATGTCATTGCAAATGGTAGGATTTCATTTTTTTAGTGGCTGAGTAATATTCCATTGTATATATGAACCATAATTTCTTTATCCAGTTGTCTATTGATGGGCATTTAGGTTGCTTCTGTGTCTTGGCTATTGTGAATTGTCCTGCCATGAATATTGAGGTGCATAGATCTTTACAAATTATTGTTTTGGTTTTCTTTGGATAAATACCCAGAAGTGCAGTCGTTAGGTCAAAGGGTATATCCATTTTTAATTTTTTGAGAAACCTCTATACTGTTTTCCATAGTGGCTGTACCACTTCGCAATCCCACCAACAATGTATGAGGGTTTCCCTTTTCTCCGCATCCTTGCCAACACTTGTTGTTTTTTATAAACTAGTTTTTTAAAAGTACATTTCCTCTTTATTTATATAATTGAGACTGTACTATAATTAAAAGCTTTGGCTAGACTTTTGCTGCACAGATTCCAAAATACAAATATATTCTTTTATTTTACTAATCTGGTGATTCTGGGCAAAATTTTTGAAAGATGATCTGTTTAAAATGTTTTGGTAGGACAATGATTCTTAAAGTTGGAGGCTGAATCACCAGCGTCACCATCACTTGGGACCTTAATCAAAAAGTGAATTCTTGAGCTCCACATCAGCCCAACCAAATCAGAATCTCCAGGGGTGGGAACTAACAATCTGTGGTTTAACAAGCCCTCTAGGAAATTCTGATGCACATTCAAATTTGGGAAACATTGCGTTAGAGTGACATTCTATATAACCTTTGGGAACAAAGTAAAAACAGACAAACTAAAATGGTGTCGTTTGCTAAGACAGGTAAGATCATATGCTTGAGACTGGTTTCTGTGTATGGCGTTTTCTAAAACTGATAGCATTTGTAGAAAAGATTAGGAAAATTGTTAAAGTACCATAAGCAAAGTTTTAAATAAAGTTATATTTACTGCTTAAAATATCTATCGAAATATATCAGTTATGCATTTTATGGGAAAGATTATAGTTTAGCAAACATTTCTCATTTATTGTTAAAGTTCCTCGCTAAAAACTCTTCATTTATCTATGATATTTAGACTTTCCTTATGACCATACATCTGGAGAAAATTGACCAAAGAGAATGGAATAAAAAATAACTTCTGCTTGTTTGTTTAAATAATGGAAATTTTTGAACTCTATTGTTTGGTCCTATTGAAAGTACTTAAAATGTCCTACCTCATGTATCTGAAATTAAAAGGAAAAAAAAATGTCCTAAATTTCCCACAGCTATCTTGATCTGAGAATGGGTGAATTAAACAACTTATTGGTCCTCATTTCTTTCTGTCTTCTTTGATTCAATATATTCGAATAACCAGAAGTCATCACTATTGTAAGGAGCCACAGGGGCATAGAATAGTAGCAATCAAATATATACAAATTA